AAAACTATTCGAATTTACTCACTCACGTTGTTACGACTGAATCGACTTTTCAATTCTCTATCCAACGATGCCAAAACGAATTCTGTGGCTCAAATAGTTATTGAGAAACTTCGAATAAAGGCCATTTAGTCATCTCTGGAATGATGTAAAAACGAGCGCTCTTGCTCATTTTGCTTCCGAGAAACATGCAAAACGGGACGGAAAACATGAAATTTTGCAATAGTCCTGCGCCACCCTTGCACAAAACGACGATAATTTTTCTAATTTCATAGATAACAGAAGACTGTATTTTTTCTACATAACCCCCCCCTGACTTTAAAGCTGGATCCGCCCCTGCATTCAATCTGACACAGCAAGTGACATTTTGAACATTTTCTGACGTCCAGGTACGTCGGTTATCAACGTCATGGCATTGTGACACATCCACTGATGACATTGACGTACACTCCGACGTGATTTTCACCTTACTTCTGCTAACAATTATCCGCGTTCTTGTAGTGGTAAATTGCAATTGATTTTGGGTGCGGAACCCGATGCAGATGCCATCAATGTGGCACGCAGCGGACCATGATGGCAAAAACACGGTCCAGGGAGCATGCAAAACCGAGCAACGAATCAAAGTGTGTGTTGCCCCTTACCGTTTTCGATCCCATTAAAAAAATTGTTGACCCAGAAATAATTCTCTAATTGAATCCTATGGGTAAAACAATTATTTTTTAATTGAATCGGGTTTTTTTCTCTGTGCTTTGACAGACTTGGATCGATTTCACTGCACCAGCATTGTCTTATTTCCTATTGTTTGGGTGCATTCGAACCATCCACCGCATCGATCTTCCAAATGATTTGTCTTGTTCTGCGGCTGGTTTGTCGCTAGTTCTTCTGTTGTTGTCCGATGATAATTAATAGCCATTCTCTTTTCAATTAGCCTTGTTTTTGCAACTGGTCTCCACATTAGAATGGGCTGTTTTTTTGGACAACAATTAAAAAGGCTCGACCTCAACTGCAGGTCGAATGCAAGAAAAACTGTTGGTTTTTACAGTCGCCACTAGTCATATGCAAGCTGGAGTTGTTAATCACTCGCTAAATATTAAATGTTGAGTGTTAGATGCAGATTTTCCGCTGCGCGGATTTGCATTTGATCAAGTTGATCGATTAGTTTTTCTGCAATTTGCTTTAGAAGGTGATCTTCTTATCAAAAGGTCAGCGGTTTGCCCTCCGGGCAAAATCAAACCTCCAACATATAATGGGATGTAAATTTCATGTTTACACACATTAGAGCCTTATTAGGCTTGCAGAATGGCAGGTGTTTTACATATTGCGAAAATGCTCTGATTTGTATAGAGTGGGCGTGGCCTTCAGCAGACTTGGTTTATACCCGCCGGATAACCGGAACTACGAAACTATCGGCAATTGTTTTTCAGCTTCAGACATCCGGGATAAAGGCGCAACTTCAACCAATCAACCAGCTGGAATATTAATTTATCGAAAAATTAAAATTCCTTGTCGTGTATTGGTGATTAGTGAACTCGGGCGGTTAATTTATTTTATTAATTGTATGACTTGATGAAATCGATCGCCCGTACATTAGAACGTTTTTTTGCCTTGAAACATTTGGTCACCGATCGTTGGGAATGAAACAATTGACTGTGATAAGTCCATTATTCAAGTCCACTGCTGCAATTTTGCCCAGAAATTGATAATGCTTGGAAAAAAGGTGTTTTTCTACGTCACGGCTTTGAGTAGTGCGGAATTCCCCCTTCATAATTTACTATGCGGTTCTTGTAGGCACGCATAGGAAGCTGACGGCTGCCGGACTTTCCGAAGAAATAAACCCAGAATTACGTATTCGTTCGAGAAAGATATGATGAAAAATTGCCGTGGAAGTAATGAGCGGAAGAATGACAATGCAGGCAAGAGCCTGTAAAATCGAATTTTTATGCATTAAAACGTCCTAGAAAATCAACAYACGATTTATTCAAAGTTACACTTCGGACGCAAAATTGATGCTAATAATGCGCGGAAAGTTCTCTTTTCGAACGAGTATTTAACCAGCTAAYATTTGGAGGCAAAAGTTCGTCTACTTCGAGAGGGCGAAAAGTTTCATAAGCCCTTATTTTTGAAACGGTYAAAAGCATCAGAACCAYCGTAAAGAACTTTTCGATATTTTGCCTCTAAATCTCTAAATTGATAGGAGTAAATATGYMTACTTTCCAGTGTTGAAAACTGTAAAAGCCTAAATTTACGAAACGGTTCTCAGTAGCCAATCAGAGAGAAGGTTTTTYGATAACCRATCTCGAAGACTGTCTTTWRGACATTCGGTTTCATTGRAAAATMATTAMTTCTAAACGAAAAATAGAAAAATTGAAGAAAATTTCTGAGTCCTAAGATATTTTTTTGATAGGGCGTTTCCACACTGACGTTTTCCTCCTCAGGAGTTTCTGTTTCTTTTTTCTTCTCAGTCAATTTTAGGCATTAAGCATTTGTTTAGGCAAGGAAACCTTCTTTTGTGTTAGTTTTTCTGTAGCTCTGTTTGGCTAAATTGCTCCCTATTGAAGGAAAATAATCAAACAAAAAAATAAAATAGAGAAGTAAAAAACAGAGGCAAGTAAAAGACTAAACAGATTAAATATCTGAGTCCTAAGTTTTTTTTTATAGGGCGATTCGACACCTACGTTTTCCTACTCGGGAGTTTTTCCTTCTGTTTCCTTCTCAGCAGTCAATTTGAAACTGTAAACATTGGTTTAGGCAAGAAAACCTTTTTTTCTGTTAGAATTTTGCTGGTCTTGTTTTGTTTAATTGCTGCCCATTGAAGAAAAATAGTCTAATAGTCCAAAGATTAGATTATTGACTATAATCGGTGAGTTCTTGATGGAATTTCAACCAGGCTTTTGCCGCAAAATTACATACTTTTTTACAAAAAAGCTGGAAATTTTGCATTTGTTGGCACTTCTGCTGAACAGCATTTAACGAAGTAACTTCTGGTAGAAAACATTGAAGAWGAGACAAAAGATTCGCTGCCTGCGAAGCTTAGAAACGTTTAAACCGCCATATTTTCAAAACGGTTTACAATAACGGAGCAGTCCTGCAGATCTTTTCGATAGCGCATCTCGAGCTCTATTTTACACCATTTAGGATTCATTAGAAATTTCTAACCTCTAAAGAGATAGGGGCAAATATTGTGCAATAATAAGGAAAATATCGCCGGTTAAAGATGGTGACCGTTCAAAAACGGCTCAAAATGGACAGAAAATATCGATTATTTCTAAACTGAGAATTCTAGCGTGTTTTCTAATTAGTTCGTTACATTTCTCGCTTTTCTCGCATAAAAATGAAGTGAAATTTGAGACATTTTGACAAACTTGATATTTTTTGAAAAAATCGACCTCCACCCTTAGAAAAATATTTCCGATTTTTAGGCCTCCACTAAGCTAAAACTCATACTCAGAAACGGTTTAAATTATCTGATCAATCATCAGAGCCTTTTTATGGGTCTTTATGGCTAATTAGGTTTCATCAGCAATTCCTAACCTCCGAAGAGAGAGAAGGAAAAATAAGGAAACGCCCACATTTAAAACCGGTCATAGCTCGGACATGCCAAAAAATATCTGATAATTCTTTAAAAAAACATTTTCAATTATAGCTCTGAAACGGTGACAAATATCGAAATAATCATTGGAACCTTTTCGGTAGAACGCTTTGAGCGCTGTTGTCCTAAATATATTTTTTCGGAAATTTCTTGCCTCTTCAAGGGTAGGAAACAAAAATTAGTTTTTTTTGCCTAAATTCAAGTTCAAGAGGTTAAATCTCGAAATGGGTTCGAAATACCTGATTAGTAGTAATGATCTTTTAGATAAAGCGTTTCGAGAGCTGCATTTGCCTCATTAGCTTAGAGCATGCATTCCTAACCTTTAAGAAGATAGGAGCTAAAATGACAAACTTTCAAGAGTCTTAAGATAAAAACAGCCGATATTTTCCAACGGATTTCGGCTGTTTGCTGCACTCGGACTATCGTCCAAAAATCAAATTATTTTTACAATTCTTAACCTCAAAAAAATGCAAACAAAAAGGTCATGCTTTCAGCGTGTTTAAAAGACTGTAGGCTGAAATTGTCAGAACTTTCGAGTCTGTTTCTGGTCGATAAAAAGTTTTGTGTAAACTTTGAAAAAAAATTGTTTGCATCATTGCCAAGTGCATAAATTTATCCCAAACTATCACCGCGAATAAGGCAGCGTTGGAGCGATTATATGAATGCTGAACAATCATTATTTTTTTCAATTTACTCATGTTGAATTCCGATGATTAACACTGTTGTCCGAAAAAAACTCTGCTTGCAATTACAAGATTTACGGATCAGGTGAGACACTCGAATTATTCGTCCAAAACATTAGTAACAATTAATTACGTAATTGGATAAATGTAAAAACAAAGCGATAGTTTAGCGGCGGTTTTTTGTCGTCAAATTGCAATCTTAATTAGTTCGAGCCGATTTGAGTGAAAATAAACAAATGCAAATCCATTTCGGTTTTTGCCAGTATCCTCCAGAGGCGATAAGTCGCGGCCACTCACGGCCAGTAGAATTATTTTTTTCAGCATCCAAGCTGATTGTTATTAATTCGCCTCTAGTCGTTGTACCCCGATTTAGACGATCGTGGCGCAAAAAAGCGAACGCTATAATCAATCAAGTTGAAAAAGCGCGTTTTTTTTCCTGCAACTTATTCTGATTGGTGTTAATGTGGTGGCGAAAACCGTGAAATTTAATTAGCTCAAAGTTGATCGATTTTTGCTGATTGTCTGTTCTTCCTCTGCCTCCTTAGCACTGGATAATTCCTTCCTAATTAGGGGGCAATAAAAATGGCAAGCAAAAGTAAAAATAAAACTTTATTTTAAATAGACAAAAATTTGTGTTTACATACAAAAACAATCGCTTTAAAACTATACAATTTCCAATAAAAAATAATTAAAGCGAATACATTATCTATGGATAAAAGAATAAATAGGCGAAATATGAACAACGATTTTAATTGAGGAGTTGAGCTGAATGCGCTTTTTAGAGGCGCACTTTGGCCGCTCAAACACCGATTGATTTAATTCGCTCGATAAACGCAGGAACATGTAGCTGCTACAACGGAAATTGATGGAGAATTCCCAGCACTGGCTCTGTATAATTAATGCGGGTCCTACAAACTCTACAAAAATGGACGAACATGTTTCTCTACCGCTATCTTTGCATTTTTGGCGCCTACATGCTAAGTTCTATCGTTAAAAAATCACAAACTATGTGAAAATCAGTCAAAAGCCCACCTACTACGAAAAAAATCGAATTATTGTTTTTTTGTATTAGTTACACTACGCTGGCCAAACCCATAACCGATCCCCAAGCTAGACCGTCCCACATTCGAATTGTGTGCTTTTCCCTAATATAATACAGAATATTCCTTATAATTTGCATCAATATTAATATTCCTAATTTCCAACAACAATGCGAAATACTCTAAAACAAGTATTTGTCCCATAAAATTTCCATTCAAAGTCCCTCAAAAGTAGTTAAATGTTTGCGCTGGCAGCCTGCAGAGGCGGTTGCTAACTAGATTTGCCACGTTTTTGTAGGCTGGTACGTTTCAGTTCCGAAAAATTGAGCAGTGATAGTCGAACAGTAAAACGAAAATATGCGAATAACGATACAATAACTTAACTAGGTTTTAAAGCGCGTACGAGCCGAAGGGCTGAAAGTGGTAGAGAGGCAAAAAAGTGATTGTTTCAGCCCTCAGGCGCAACATTCATCACAAATGAATGAACATATAAGTCCCAATAGCTGCCAGTTTGTCACTAAAGTCCTCAATAGATTTCTACCTCAACAATCACTTATATGACATTGAAAATGAGTAGAATTCCCAACCATTTGAAGAAGTTTGGTGCTCACAACCCAGTGTACCAATCGCGCTGCTCAGCATGCGCTATTGGACAGGATCCAAAGTGTCTTTCAGCCTCTTCATCACATGGCCGCCTATGTCCCTCACTTCCGGCCACTGTTTCAGTGTGAACACTATGGCTATGACGCAGACTACGGTTGTGATGATGCGCACTCTGAAACAAAAACCCATTCCGTTCGGTTTGCGCATCACTCATTGCATCGAAACACTGTTGTTAGAAACACACAAGCATGCGCCAGTTAGATCTAGTCAGTCTAGGTTTATGCGGTCAGATGTTTGGCCGGAGGAGGGCCGGTTAATGCCCACAAAGCAAATTTCACCCAATGATTCCAAGTGTTTCAAGTCAAGCCAAGAGTAAAACCAAAATACCTGATGAACTCAGCTTTTTGAGATACCTCTGGAAAATAAGGACAAATAGGACCACTTTTGGGGCGTCTCGTCGCCAAGTTGGCCCGTTTTGCCCCCGGTTATTTCCGTTACGGTCACCGTACGACTCGGGCTAAGAAACAAATAAATGAAATGTTGCAATTAAATTGTGTCTGCTGATATAAACGTAGACTGACACAACAGGTGGGTTAATGTGCGATCAGTAAGCCGTAGCTGCTGTCTTGYATCAACGTAAGATTTACGATTTGCAGATTCGAAGGCGGCGGCTACGCCTCTGAGTGAAATAGGCCTGGGCAACTCGGTGAWTTTTCATSAGTTAACGCAGTGCTGCGTAAATGTCTAGATGTTCCAACCCAARAAAACGMCCAGWGCAAMAGTTTTCAAAAAATTATTTAGAAAAAACKTTKMATRTTTATTTTATTGCGTTGTCAATAGGCCTGGGTAACTCAGTGAATTTTTATGAGTTAACGCAGTGCTGCGTAAATATCTAGGTGTTTCAACACAACGCAGCGRCGCAGTAATTCAGTTCCGTGGCTGGGAAAATGTTGATGACCTTTTCTTACTYGTTTGCACTCTTTCTTCTAAACGCTCAATTTTCTAAACTTTCAATTRAAAATRCTGACRATCTTAAAGTATTTTCTGCGAAAAATTATAAAAGACATTTTCTTAGAACTGAGTCTAGTTTGTTGCCTTGTAAAAAGTTTTGAAATTCCTTTCAAGCTTCAAACAAAATTTGAGACAAAAATCAAATAATTTTTGACAGAATAAATAATAATTATAATAATAATAAATAACAGAATAAGCGAAAGTTTATAATAAATTATTTGGAAAACTCGTCACCCACATATTTTACGTCGTTTTCTACCGAAAGTAATTAGGATTATCTTGAAAAAAAACAACCAAAGCAAAAGTTTTCAAAACATTATTGAGAAAATTAGCCGCTCTCATTGCTCTGAAGACTTTTGAAGCTTCTTTAAAATTTCAGGTCTTTCCAGTTTTGACAAAGTTTTTATTAAACAATTAATTCTACGCAAAAACGTGTTATTTTTTAGTTTTACTTAAAAATACTGACAATATTCAGCTATTTCCTATAAAAAATATTAACACTAATTTTATTGAAACACTCGCTTCGTTAACAGCTTTTTTAAAAAAATTCCATTCAAATTTCGTGCAAAACCATAATTCTGGATTGTTTCCCAAAAATATTTCGCCGAACAAAACAAGCGAAACTTTATAATCAATTATTTGGAAAACTCGTCACCTTTGTCGCTCTGGATAATTTGGGTTTTTTAATCCCAGTTTCTCCACTTTCATGTCAATATTTCTCAACAAAACTTGCTCTAAACAGAAAAACGCAGTTTTTCCTTACGTTTTACTGTAAAATACTGACAAACCGTGTTATGCGAAAAAATTAAGAAATCGATTTCACAAGAAACCTCGTCGTCTTCGGACCCAG